TAAATATTTAATCTATATTACAAAAATCTGACTGATAGTGGGTTTTAACATACATTAAGATCAGATTCTAACAAAAGTGAATTTTGATGCAGTTCACATTGATTTGCATGAAGATCACATTCAGCTTCTCAATCAAGTGCATTAGGAGACTAATCTCCATGGACAGATAGTGTGGAATCACTGTGGCTGTAGTCTGAAAATAAATATTTAATCTATATTACAAAAATCTGACTGATAGTGGGTTTTAACATACATTAAGATCAGATTCTAACAAAAGTGAATTTTGATGCAGTTCACATTGATTTGCATGAAGATCACATTCAGCTTCTCAATCAAGTGCATTAGGAGACTAATCTCCATGGACAGATAGTGTGGAATCACTGTGGCTGTAGTCTGAAAAGGGACATTAAAACTTGGAGGGTGGGGCACCAGATTTACCAAGTGTCCTTTTTAAAACGGGCTCAGTTTACAAGTGAAAAGATGTTCTCTCAACTGCATCCCATGAAATCGAACTTGGGATCGGACAGTCAAACTAGGCTATGTTTTTCCTCACACATCAGTGTTGGAGATACCACAGCACAAATCAGACCCTCAACTGTGCTCCCAATTAAGCTCTATGCAACACATTTCAATGAAAACTGACTCACTCAGAGTATGTCCTCATTCCACGAAGAGTACAGCTAGTTCGGATTAGAAGCCTAATCCGAACTAGCTACTCCGTGCCGAGTGTAGCCGCGCAGCACGGGGTTCGAACTAGCCGGCATTTAAAAATGGCGCCGGCCGGCTTCATGCAAATGAAGCCCGGGAAATTCAAATCCTGGGCTTCATTTGCAGTTGCGGATGACTACATTACCCCCGCTAGTTCGGACTAGCGGGGTAGTGTAGACATACCCTCAGGTAACACACTAAATGTTATTGATGCTTGTAGAGGAACAGAATTCAGCTCCCTTGCACACTGCTATAGTTGAAAGCATTGATTCTCAAACTGGGGTCCGTGGACTGGACGCCTTTCAGGTGGTCTATGGCTCAAGCTCAGTCCTGCCCCCCACCCCATAGGGTTGGAGTGCCAAGTGCCCCTCAGCCTCCTTCATGCCCAGACCCTGAATCTCCAGCCCCTCACACAACCCCTCACCTCCACCGAGACCCTGCACCTCCAGCCTGCTCCTGCTCATTCCAACTGGCCAGACAGCCTACATCCAAGCCTGCTCCTGCACTCTACCTCCCACCCAGGCCTTGCACTCTCATCCCTTCCTGCACCCCCCTTCCTATCTCACACACTGAACTTCTCATTTTTGGTCCCACCCCAGAGCCTGAAGGTGGAGGGGGAGGGGGAGAAGAGATCTACAAAATGCACTAACCCCGGAACCCCAGAAGAGTAATCTGGCCTAATGGGAAGCCCTGAACATCAGTCTCTCCTGATGCTCCCTCCCTCCCATGGGGCTGCAGCACCAATGGAATGAGATGTCTTCGTTGGGGGCCACATTAGTGAAGGTTGGGGGGGTTTGGAGGGTTTTTTGGGGGGCTTCTCACTGGTGTGGCCCCCAAATGATTTTTCTGTGGGTCTGTGGCCCCCGACCCAAAAAAGGTTCCCCACTCCTGCCATAATTAAAAGCCATGTTGAAAGCTTGTGTGTGTTGGACATAAATTAGTATTTTACTTTATTTAAAATGAAGTTAAACGCTTAATCTGTTTAATAATTTAGATAAGTATTTCCTTTCTTACTGGTTAAATGAAAACATTCTCCCTAACTGCAACACTGGCAAAATGGCTCAAGCGTAATTATATAATTAATGGTAAGTTTCCTTTAGCAGCTAGTGGTTTGTGGAAAGGTTTGCATTGAACCAGGTGGGCCATGAGCCAAAAAGTTGAGAACCACTGGTTTCAAGCTAAAGGGAAGGTTACTCACCTTGTGCAGTAACTGGAGTTCTTCAAGATGCGTCCCCTGGGGTGCTCCACTTAGGAGTGTCAGCGCTGCTCTGCACACAGCCCGGAGATCTTTAGTAACAGTCCCTGGCCGCTGGTGCGTGCTGCGCTATTTGCAATCACTCTGAGGGACAGTTAGGCATGTGCCGGCAGCCGTTCCCTCCGTTCCTTCTCTACGCTGGATTGTGTTAGCCTGGAGCGGAAGGAAGGAGGGTGTGCGTGGAGCACCCACGGGGACACATCTTGAAGAACTCCAGTTACTGCACAAGGTGAGTAACCTTCCCTTCCTCTTCGAGGGTCCCCAGGGGTGCTCCACTTAAGTGACTATGCAGCAGTATTCATGCTTGGCGGTGAGCACTCCATGATGCAGGATTGGCTGTTGGACAGTATGGTACGTCCAACGTTAGTGTCGGAGTCCTGAAAGGACTGAATAGCCTAATGCTGTGCAAAGGTATTGGCCGAAGCCCATGCAGTAGCTCTGCAATTGATGTCTATGGGAAGACCCCTGAGGAAAGCAGTTGTGCTAGATGCTGCTCTCGTGGAATGCGCCCGTATAACTGGCGGTTATTTCTGGGTGTAAGTGTGTAGAAATCCATTTGGAAACAGGTTGTCCTCTGGACTTGTCTGTGCACAACACAAATGGTCTGGGAGTGCATCTGAAGTCTCTTGTGTTCAAGGTACATTCAGAGTGTGCAGCACTGCCTGCCTGCTGTTCTCGTGTGGTTTTGGGAAGAACACAGGTAAGTATATTGGTTTGTTACAATGGAATGAGGCAAGTCTCTTGGGCAGGAATTTTGGGTGGATTCTAAGGATGACCATGGCCTTGTGGAACACAGTGTACGACAGATCCGCCATGAGTGCCGCTCTCTCTCCCACTCTCCTACCTGATGTTATTGCAATGAGAAAAGTGATCTTCATTGAAAGGTGGAGTAGCAAGCAAGTGGTCAGAGGCTTGAAAGGCTGTCTCATGAGTGAGTCCAGCACTAGAGACAATTCCCATGATGGTGCTGGGTCTCAATGTGGTGGATAGAGATTCCGTGTCCCTTTCAGGAATTTCTTCACACGGGTGGGAAAAACATGGAATATTCCAGTATGGGTCGGTGTATCGCTGATATAGCTATCAAGTGTACACTGAGGGAACTAATTGATAGTCCTGTGTCCCGCAGGTGGAGAATATACTCTAGTATGTTGGATATCCTTGCCCTGTGTGGATCCTGCACTTGAGCTGAATTCCAGGCTCTCCTCTAAGTCTCTTGCCCGTTTTGATCTCGGGGCGAGTTTCTGGCAATGTGGGCAGCCTCTCCCATGGTGGTCTTGCCCAAGGCAGCACAAACTCTGTTCATGTCCATCTGTCGCTGAAATGAAGATCTCACGCCCTGTGCGTCTTTTAAAGCCATATGGTGCGGGCATGACAGGGATCGCCTGCTTGCTACAGGTGAGCGGGATGCAGCGGTAGCACCTGCGCCCTGCTCCACTTGCTCTTTATCTTCTGTTGTTATCGGTATCTCAATAAAAGAAAGGTTCTTCTTTGTCTTCACTTTCTAATCGTGTTAAAGGTTTTGAAGGAAGACTATCTCCTTGCAACCGATCCCGGCGGAGGTTGAGAAGGAACGGAGGCCACCAGCATGTGCTAAACTGTCAGAGTGATTGCGCAACAGCGCAGCATGCGCCGGTGGCCAGGGACGGCTATCAAAGGTCTTTGGGCCATGTGCACAACGGCGCTGACACACCTAAGTGGAGCACCCATGGGGACCCTCGAAGAAGAAGAAGAAGAATTTGCTTTTGTCAGATTCCTACGACTATGAAAACACATAAGGGAAAATCCCTACTAAGTCAGAAAAGACCATTTTTCAGGGCAGAAATCACGCTTTGAAGAGTGCCTACTAGCTTCCCTATAGGTCAGCAATACTTATAAAAAAAGAAAACCCCATTGACTTAGATTAAAATTGTTGCCTAACAAAGAGTTAAAATAATAAACATTTTGAAATTAAGAACGAAGTACTAAAGATCCTTTGAAGACACTGACTTGGATCTCTGATGCACACGAATCTCTTAGCAATATCAATGGGAGTTTCTAAGTGGACACCCACGAGTATGTGACAAGTGCTTTTGCACTAATTGTTTCCAAGATTCACTCTAATGTGCAAGTAAAAATGAGCTAACTTTTCTTTAGCTCACATTTTAGCTGTACATTGATTCCCCCTCTTCCAGACAGCATTGCTTACACCTCACATTTTTCTGAAGAAAGCTCTTCACTATAAATCTAGACTTAGAGTGAAAAGACCAGAGATCATCCAAGTGTAATGCCCAGCAAATGCAGAATTGTCCTCTATAGTGCCTCTACACTGTTTGGGATACTTCAACAAAGGAATATGAATCTATTATAAAAATACCACACTACTTCAATTTCACAAAAGAAGGCTTAACAACAGAATTCTGTTTTGTTTCATGAGTGTGCCTATGTAGGAAGAACACACAAGGAGTATGCTTTGAGATCCTACCGTTCAATTTCCTTCTCATTCCCTTCTCTGCGGAATCGTTCAATGTATTCTTTGCTGTATCTCTCTTGCGTGTGGCACTGTTCCTCAAATATTTTGATGGTTTCATTAAATGCTTCAATTGCAGTTCTCTTCATCTGAATTTCCTATACAAAGAAACCAAAACCAAAAAGCATACTTAGTCATTTGCATCCTGAAATAAGTTACAGGCACAAGATTCAATTATGCTTCCTAAATAGATTGTCAGAAAGAAACCTTCAGCCTTCATTTAAAATGAAATTATGAAAAAATCTGAGTTTTACTGAACACGAAAATACACGACCCATTTTAGCCAAAGTCTCAAAGAAAGCAGATCATCTCTCCCTCCACAAGGTTTACCAAGTTATAAAGTCCTTGTAATTAGGGTTCTTTGACAGAAAATCCCAGCACAGATCTTTACATTACAATATTAGGTCCTAGTTGTTAGAGCTCTTGTTATTACCTATAGTCCACAACTCAGACCCCTCCAACACATTATACCCAATCTACAACCAATCTTGGAAAATGATCCCTCACTCTCAGAGGTCTTGGGAGAAAAGCCTATTTTTGCTTACAGACAACCCCATAACCTGAAACAAATTCTTTCTGGTAACCATGCCACACAACCACATCATAAGCCTCCAGGAACCCAGCCCTGCAACCAAAAACGATGCCAACTCTGTCCACATATCTAGACTGGTGAATGCATCACTGTATCCAACAACATAAGCAGGGCTCGCCAAGCCGCGGCGAGCCCCACTTGCCAGCCACACG